ATTGAAAGCTGCAAAGGAAAAAGGTCAAGTAACTTATAAAGGTAAACCTATCAGACTTACACCAGACTTCTCTATGGAAACCATGAAAGCCAGAAGGTCCTGGATAGAGGTACTGCAGAAACTAAGAGACAATGGATGCAAACCCAGACTACTTTACCCAGCCAAGCTATTGTTCACTATCAACGGAGAAAACAAAATATTCCAGGATAAAAACAAATTTAAACAATACGTAGCTACTAATCCAGCCTTACAGAGAATACTAGAAGGAAAATCACAACCCAAGAATCCAACATTCCCAACACTGCCTACATTAACTCAGACATTTAGCGACCCTCCACAAGCACAACTCAAAGAAGGAAAACACATACACGCTACTACCCAAAAAAATGACCGGAGTCATCGATCACTGGTCATTAATATCACTTAATATCAATGGTCTCAACTCACCTATAAAGAGGCACAGACTTAGAGATTGGATACGAAAACAGGATCCAACATTCTGCTGTCTACAAGAAACACACCTCAACCACAAAGACAGACACCTACTCAGAGTAAAGGGTTGGGAAAAGGTTTTCCAAGCAAATGGACCTAAGAAATAAGCGGGTGTGGCCATTCTAATATCTAACAAAATCGACTTCAAACTAAAATCAATCAGAAGAGATGGAGATGGACATTTCATACTCATAACAGGAACAATTCATCAGGAAGAAGTCTCAATCTTGAATATCTATGCCCCTAATATAAAGGCACCCACATATGTAAAAGAAACTCTTCTAGAACTCAAGGCAGTCATCAAACCACACACACTAATAGTAGGAGACTTCAACACTCCTCTCTCACCAATGGACAGGTCAATCAGACAGAAACCTAACAGAGAAATAAGAGATTTACTGGAGGTACTGAATCAAATGGACTTAACAGACATCTATAGAACACTCCACCCAAATAGGAAAGAGTATACCTTCTTCTCTGCAGCTCATGGAACCTTCTCGAAAATTGACCACATACTTGGTAACAAAGCAAACTTCCACAGATACAAAAAAATATTAGTGACCACCTGTGTCTTGTCAGATCACCATGGATTAAAATTAGAATTCAACAACAATGGTACCCCCATGAAGCCAACAAACTCATGGAAGTTGAACAGTCAACTACTAAATCACCCCTGGGTCAAGGAAGAAATAAAGAAAGAAATTAAAGTCTTCCTTGAATATAATGAAAACAAAGACACAACGTATTCAAACCTATGGGACACAATGAAAGCAGTGCTAAGAGGAAAAAAGACTGTCTTTAGCAGCACAAATACCAATATGTAACACAAGTTTATCTACAATGTATGCGTTGAGTATAAAGTAAGTGTATGCTCTATGACAATTGATATTCATACCAATAGAATTATAAAGTAACTATTATTTAAAAAAAGAAGATGAACCTGATGAAGATTATTTAGCTATCCACCAGGAGGTAGGAAATAGTCAAGAGTCCCAGGTAACCTCGGGTGCATGGGGGGGTGGGAGGGTTGTTGGAAGGGGAGAGGGTTAGAGAGAAGGGAGTAGGGGAGGAATGGGGAAAGCTCGGTTGACCGGGATGGGGGGAGGGAGGAACGATGAATATGGGATCAGAGAAGAATATATTTCAACTAAGGGAGTCATTTTAGCGTTTACAGGAGACTTGATTATATATGGGATCCCAGGTCCAAGGAGAGAGCCCCAGATTGTTCTCTGGACAGAGGAGAGGGTGCCTGAACCGGCCTTGGCCCATAACCATACTGATGAATATTTTGCCTATCACCATAGATCCTTCATCTGGCGATGGATGGCGATACAGACGGAGACCCACATTGGAGCACCGGACTGAGCCCCGCAAGGTCCAAATGAGGAGCAGAAGGACGAAGAAAATGAAAAAGGAAATAAGGACTACGAGGGCTGCTATCACCCACTGATACAAGGGGACGGATCTAATGAGAGTTTACCAAGGCCAGTTGGACTGCAACTGAACGAGGACATGATCCAATCAGATTCTCTGAATGTGGCCGGATTCTCTGAATGTGGCTGGCCTGGAGTCTTTCTGCAAAGCCATTGACAATGACACTGGGACTAGTTTCCTCTGCATATACTTGATTTTGGGGATCCAGTCTGTTTGGATACTCACCTTCCTGCACCTTGTGGGAGGGGGAAGGAACTTGAACTTCCCACAGGGCAGGAAACCCTGACTGCCCTTAGGGACAAAGAGGGAGGAGGAGAGGGAGTGGGGGGAGTGGGAGGGTGTTGGGAAGAGGGGCGTAAATGGAAACTTTTATAATTTAATAAAATTACTTTCAAAAAAATTATATTTTATTAAAAATAAAAAAAGAGGGAAATGATGCGGGAGAATTGTCTGTATTCTGTCAATCATATTTTAATAAAACGCTGATTGGCCAGGCAGCAGTATAGGTGGGAAAACCAGACAGCAAGTTGAGGTGATACAATGAGAACAGGAGAATTCTGGGAAGCAGGGAAGTTCCTCTGCCACTCCTGGGCAGACCACGGAAGAGGCAGCATGTAACTTGCCCAGCTGAGAAAGGTACAGAGCCATTATGGCTAACTTAGATGAGAATAATGGGTTAATATAAGTTATAAGAGTTAACAAGAAGACTGACCTAATGGGCCAATCAGTTTATAACCTAACGTAGACTCCGTGTTATTTTCTTTGGGAATTGCCAGTTGCGGGGTACCAGGTGGGACAAAAACCCCAACAAGCCGGCCCTCGTGTTACATCAAACCATTAATGATTCTTATTAATTGCTTTGAGATATCTAATTACTATGACCCACAATTGAATTAACCCCTCAAAAAACTAAATAGCTTATTTTCAAACTTACAAAGTGATGAGGATTTAAATATTTCAATTAAAGTATCAGCTGACGCCAAGAGAAAATTTATTTTGTTAGAAAATTATTTACAGAATACACACATGTATCATTTTTATCCAAAGCTTGATTTTGTTCTAGTTATTTTTCCTTCTATTCATTTTCCCACAGAAATTCTTATGCATAGAGAAGATATTATCTTCAAATGGGTATTTTTGTTACATAGGCAGAGTTAGAAAAATCTATGTAGAAAATGTTTCTGAGTTGACTGCAAAAGGAAAGATGAGACTTCATTGATTAGCAAGAATATACCCATCAGAAAGTGTGGCACCATTTACTAACACAAAAATTGCCTCATTTTTGGAAGTAAATCAATAGTGACACAAAGCTTGTAATTATTTTTATTTGAAATATTAACAGTGAATGTTTCCAAAAAAGGGAGCCTACAGTTTATAAAATAACTAATTGGAGTCTTTCTTATAACGTGACTTTCTTATATAGTGCTTCAATATATATATTGAAGCAACACCATTTTCTAGCAGTAGTACATTCTATACAAATGTAAATACATCAGGAATGGTGGGTGATAAGTCACAAATAATAAGTAAAGTGGCTCAAAACACCTATGATTCAGATAAAAAAAAATCAGAGCTGGGGGATGGAGAGATATCTCAACAGTAAGAGCACTGTCTACTTTTCCAAAGGTCTTGAGTTCAATTCCAATCAAACACAAGGTGGCTCAAAACCATATGTCATGAGATATAGTGCTGTCTCCTGGCCTTCAGGCATACATGCAAGCAGAACATCTATACATAATGAATAAATATTTATTTATTGATTGATTGATTGATTTATTAAAAATTTCCACCTTTCCCCGTTTCCCTTTTCCCTGCCCCTCTCCACTTCCCCTTCCCCACCTCCCCATCCCCATCTTCCCCTTTCTAGCTTCCCCTCCCTCTCTAGCCTTAAGAACAGTCAGGGTTCCCTGCCCTGTGGGAAGTCCAAGGTCCTCCCCCATCTGTACAAGTCTTTAAAGGTGAGCATCCAAACATACCAGGCTCCCACAGAGTTAGTCCATGCAGTAGAATTAAATCCCAATACCATTATCCTTGGCTTCTCAGTCAGCCTTCATTGAAGAAAATCAGAGCTGTATTTCATTCTTATGATATTAGTAAATTTTCTTAAATTTCATAATATAAATATTGATTTTCAATATATAGAAAGTTGTTTTACATTTTAAAATGCCTGACCTCATTCCAATTGATTCAGTATTAAATAGTCTCGTTAATTAATTATAGCAAGTAATCAGAAATTGAAATAATCTATTGTATATAACACAAATCAGATCCTATATGGGAAATCTGACAAAGGGATTTCAAAGATTGAAAAATTGAATTATATCCAATATTTCCATAGATCCATATGCTTTTTAGGGGAAACTGCTCTAAAGTCTGAAAAAGTTGATTTTGAAATCTCACACTGAATAGTAGTTATGACTATTATCAAAATACCTGTACGAATTAAGGCTGACAATCCTGTAGCTTAAGTCTTTATAAAGTGAAACATTTTTTTTATATTACAACCCAAAGCATTTTACAATTATACCACATACTCTTATAAGACAGACAGATATTGAAAGATTTAATCATGCTTTAAAAGATATGCTTAATAAGCAAAAGGGGGTAATAAAGACCCCCAGAAATAGATTGCAGAATGCTTTATTAACTTTAATGTTTTAAATGTTAATGAGAAATGAACAATAGCTGTGGAGAGACATTATATAGTAGAGAAAACTGCTGAATTAAATCGGCCTGTTTTCTTTTAACATTTATTAACTTCAGAATTGAAATAGAAAATGTATTTGGCCTTTGCACAGGAAAAGAATAGCAGAGTATACCACTGAGATTCACTAAGATTACATGTGAACAGGAGAGATTTTCTGGATAAGCAGAGGTGATAGTTCATCAGCCATCTTGGTTATTCAGTCCAAACAAAATTTAAAAATCTAAAAAAAAATGCCTTTTGAAGAGAAATTCAAATGTTCTAGTGTGTGAAGGAATGGGAAATGTCATAGAGTATAATCACGAGGAGAGTCCTCTAGAGGATTTCCCTGAGTAGAAAGGAAAAATGGGACCTAGCGATAAAACACACTCTCATACAGCAGAGGTCAATACTTCCCAGATTCTGAAGTGACAATTACTGGTCCTGAAGAGTTTCTGTTGATTCTCAGTGCCACCTGCTGGTAATGATTTTCTCTGCAGAGAGGTTTTGGTGCAGGTTCACACTGGAGTTCTCTCACTGTGTCTCCCGCACAGTAATACATGGCTGTGTCCTCAGTTTGCAGACTGTTCAGTTTTAAGAAAACTTGGCTCTTGGACGTGTCCCTGGTGATGGTGACTCTGGATTTCAGAGCTGAATTATAATCTGTGCCTCCATTATACCAAATTGCTCCCATCCACTCCAGACCCTTTCCTGGAGGCTGGCGAACCCAGTGCATATTGTAGCTGGTTAATGAGAACCCAGAGACAGTGCAGGTGAGAGACAGGGTTTGTGAGGGCTGCACCAGGCCTGGTCCTGATTCCTTCAGCTGATCCTGGGACTGGACGCCTGTGGATAAACAACATCACCATCAATCATAATCACCATCAATCACTGTAAATGACATGTTTGATTCCCTCTTTTAAAATCCTGAAGCACTTACAGCTTGGAAAGGTCACCAGGCAGAGGAGCAGCACCAGGACAGCCATGCTCTGCTAAAGGTACGAGTGAGAGGGAGATGGGTCTTCTCAGATAGACCTGAGCTTTTATCCTGAACCTGAGTGCTAATTTGCATTGGAGGAGGTCCTGAGAGAATAAAAGGAAGTACAGGGCAAGGTTTAGGAGATTTGAGAGCAGTCAGCTGGAAAATATAGGTGTCATATTTCACTGCATACATATAAAAATCCACAAGAGTAAGTAAAATAGTAGAAATAGCATTACTGAGATTTAAAACAATAAATTCAGAAGGCAAATAATTAAGGGATACTGTTAAATATCAAATAATTTGGTAGGCCACATTATCAGGGACAATCTTTCAGTCTAGCTAAAAGCTGGAGGGGTTGTTCACTTATTTCCAATAAATCCATCTACAGATAAACTTATGTTTTATTTGTAAAATACCTATACACATTTCTTTAGCTGTAACTTTACTCTAAGGTGACAACATCTCTTCATTAAACAGAATTAGGGGAAAAAAACCACACAACTAGATAGATATGTGTGTATGTGTGTGTGTGTGTGTGTGTGTGTGTGTTTTGGGGTGAGTATTCAGAAGTCAATTATTTTCTGTATTAAAACAGTCATGAGCCCATGATTTAAATGTCACACTCTTAAGAAAGAGACTTCTTTTATCAAGGTTGAGAGAAATAATAATACATTGGCACAAGTATAGAAGACAGTTTAAGTACATGTTTCTTGGTCAAGCATCCATGGTAGATTTCTTCATAGCACTGTGAATAATGTTCTGTATATTTTTGACCATTTATGTGTTCTAATTTTTAAAAAATGATTAAAAATATTTTATTTTATTTTATTTTTTTTTGCTGAGAATGGGCTACTTTTTTTTCCTCAAAGTTTATTAAAATACAAAAGTCTCCATTTCCGCCCCTCTTCCCAACCCCCTCCCACTCCCCCCACTCTCTCCCCTCCTCCCGCTCCATCCCCAAGAGCAGTCAGGGTCTCCCACCCTGTGGGTAGTTAAAGCTCCTCCCCCTCCCTCCAGGTCCAGGAAGGTGAGCATCCAAACAGACTGGATCCCAGAAATCCAGTATATGCAGAGGAAACAAGTCCCAGTGTCATTGTCAATGGCTTTTCAGAAAGACTCCAGGCCAGCCACATTCAGAGAATCCGGCCTCATTCAGAGAATCGTGCTGGATCACGTGCTTGCTCAGTCCCAGACAACTGGCCTTGGTGAACTCTCATTAGATAAGTCCCCTTGTATCAGTGGGTGATCGCAGTCCTGATTTCCTTTTTAAGTTCTTCCTCCTTCTGCTCTTCATTTGGACCTTGGGGGACTCCGTCTGGTGCTCCAATGTGGGTTTCCATCTTTATCGCCATACATCGTCGGATGAAGGTTCCCTCTGATCTTGCCTTCCTTGCTCACGTTCTCTTTCCTTCTCCTTCTCGTTTGGACCTAGGGAGTTAAATCCAGTGTTCCAATGTGGGTCTCTGTCTCCATCTCCGTCCATCGCCAGATGAAGGATCTATGGTGATAAGCAAAATATTCATCAGTATGGTTATGGGCCAAGGCCAGTTCAGGCACCCTCTCTTCTGTCCAGAGAATAATCTTGGGATCTCTCCTTGGACCTGGGATCCCATTTATAATCAAGTCTCTAGTAAACCCTAAACTGACTTCCATAGTTCAGATATATTCTTCCCTGAGCCCATATCTATCCTTCCTCCCCCCCCCCCAGTCTTCCCGAGCATTCCCCATTCCTCCCCTGCTTCCTTCTTTCTAACCCTCCCCCCTTCCAACAACCCTCCTACACCCCCCATGCACCCGAGGTTACCTGGGACTCTTGTCTATTTCCAATCTCCAGGAGGAAAACTACCAATGATAGCCTATGCTGGAGAGTTTGTGGCATGAGGGGAACACTCATCCATTGTTGGTGGGAATGCAAACTTGTGCAACCACTGTGGAAATCAGTGTGGCGGTTTCTCAGGAAACTGGGAGTCAACCTTCCTCAGGACCCAGCAATTCCACTCTTGGGAATATACCCAAGAGATGACCTATCATACTACAAAAGTATTTGTTCAACTATGTTCATAGCTGCACTATTTGTAATAGCCAGAACCTGGAAACAACCTAGGTGCCCCTCAATAGAAGAATGGTTACAGAAGGTGTGGAACATATATACATTAGAGTTTTACTCAGCGGTAAAAAACAATGACATCTTGAATTTTGCATGCAAATGGATGGACATAGAAAACGCTTTACTGAGTGAGGTAACCCAGACCCAAATAGAGGAATGTGGTATGTACTCACTCATAAGTGGATTCTAGCCATAGTTAAAGGTCTTTGAGTCTATAATTTGTGATCCTCAAGAAGCTAAATAAGAAGATGAACCTGAAGAAAATAATATAGTTATCCTCCTGGATAGTGGAACTAGGCAAGATTGCCAGGCAAACTCGGGTGCATGGGGGGTGGGAGGGTGGAAGTAAGGTAAGATGGTCAGGGACAGGGGAGAGGGGGAGGATTGGGGAAGGCTTGGGGTATGGGAGGGAGGAAGGAGGAAGGATGGTTGGGGGAGCAGGGAGGTTTATATCTCAGCTAAGGGAGCCATTTTAGGGCTTGCAAGAGACTTGATTCTGGAGGGGTTCCCAGTAAAAATTAAATAAAAAAATAAAAAATAAATAAAAAATAAAAAATAATTAAAAAAATAATAATAATAAAAAAAGAAAACGCTTTACTGAGTCAGGTAAGCCAGACCCAAAAAGAGGAATTTGGTATGTATTCACTCATAAATGGATTCTAGCCATAATTAAAGGTCTTTGAGTCGATTATTTGTGATCCTAGAGAAGCTGGATAGGAGGGTGAACCTAAAAATATTTTAATTTGAAGCATGGATACAACAGTAAAAAAAATATTGATGACCTCGGGTGGGTAAGGCATGTGCAGTTCCTTTTCTCTGCATGCTATACCATATAACTTGTCTTGTTTTGAACATATCTTTTTTTAAAAATACATTTTAATGATTCATTGTTTTTTCTAGTTTGGAATTATGATACACATTTATAATCTGTATTGAAATAGTTTCTATTGTTTTAAAAATCTGAGAGGACAGAGAACAATCATAACTTTATTCCTTTTTAAACATGGATTTTTTAAATTGTTCTTTATGGAGCTCTACATTTTTTCTACTCCCCTCCCTCCCTGCCTCTCCCCTCCCCTTCGACCCTCCCCCAAGATCTTCATGCTCCCAATTTACTCAAGAGATCTTGTCTTTTTCTACTTCCCATGTTGTTTATGTATATGTATTTTTATCTTAGTGTCCTCATTGTTGTCTAAGTTCTCTGGATGTACAAAATAGAGCAAAACTTTCAGGGAGCTTCATTCCACTGGAGGAGACCTAGAATAAGCAGGGAGGAAAACTATGCATGATGACTCTTCGAGTTAATGATGCTAAGGGAGAAATGTTATTCTAGATGAGGATATCAGGGGAGGCAGTTCCCTTTATGAGATGCCTAAGGATTCAAAGAAGAGGCAGTGCTTCAGTTATGGGGTGGGAGGGATAAGATGGCATGAAGGTGGGTCACAGCAGCTAGCTCTCATGAATGCTGCCCCCAGGTGGTAGATTACCAAGCAGGGAAGAAGAAGTATGTTGGAGTTAAGTTGATGACATCCAGTGAGGAGTGAAGGCAGGGGAGCTGTGGAGGTTTTGGAGAGATAGAATCATAGCGAGAATTTTGACTTTAACTCAGGGTGAAGTAAGACTCCCATATGGGGGTCAGTGTAGCATGCTGGTGTTCAAAAGACCAGTCAGTCAAATGTCTACATCCCAGTTCTGATTTCTCTCTTTTCATACCAGGGGTAGATATATAGTTTGCATGGCCCACGTTGAAAACAGAATTTGGAGTCACCTGCTTAAATAAAGGGAAGAAAGGGGACATAGTTAAAAGCTACTGAAACATAGAGCTTTTCCTTTCTCCCTCAGCCTCACCTTCAATCTGCTATGGTGGTCTCAATTTGTCATTTGCCATAGATCCAAGTAAAGAAGCAGTTCTCATTTAAAACTCTTAGAGTGAATTTTTCTATTTATCTCTGCACTGCCCATTTCCAGTTTTTAAGACAAAGATAAGTGAAAACATTTTAGTAGATACATTTCCTGGGTGTATTTTTGTTTGTACAGTACTCTGGGATTATGATTTGTGGGCTGGTTTTCTTTGCTTTATGTTTAAAAACCACTTATGAGTGAGTAAATACGATAGCTGTCTTTCTGTGTCTGGGTTACCTCACTCAAAAGGATGTTTTCTGGCTCCATCCATTTCCCTGTAAAATTCAAGTTGTCATTATTATTTTTTCTGCTGTGTAGTACTCCAGAGACCCATAATTATTGTGAGTTCACATGTATGTAATGTTCATGTTATTTCCAGAGGCCACCATCTTACTTTCATTCTTTCAACTGACTTTTAAGAGATGTATCTTGAGGCTTGCAGGGAGGATTCTAATGGTTAAGGAAGTTGGTGATGTGGGAGTTTGGATATAGACATTCAGTCTGTGGACAAGTACTCACAGTTATCTATTTTCAGCATTGCACTCTTTAAATTCATAGAAGGCTTCTGTTGGATGGAGACTCATTTTATTTGGAGATGTGACTATTGGTTGGTTGTCTTTATCTATTGGGTGAATACAAACCAATGGGCATAGGGAACACTATTTGCATTTGCTAGGTTGTAAATAGATGGCATGAATTTGTGAGGAAACTGTATTGGAGGGCCAATGAGGGTGAATTGAAAGGAAAGAATTGAGTGGGGATATAGACAAGATATATTGCAAATATTTATGGGTTTTCAAAAATATGAAAAATGTTTTCAAAATAGTATATTAAAAGTTTATCCCTATAAAATTTAAAAGGTCACCAAATGTGATTTTCTGGCAAGAATCTTCTTCACCAGTAGTTTCTTCCTTCTCTTAACAATTAAAATCCTTTAAAAATGGATTGCATCCACAAACTCTGGAGTCATCCCTACCCTATTGGTTTCAATAACCCCTAACAGTGTAACTGTTCAAGTTGAACACATTCTCCACTTCTCAAAGAACATGACCTTTACAGAAG